TTGTTTGTATTAATTAACATACTATATTATCAGAGATTTGTTTTGATTATATCATAAAATGTCGTAATAACTAATTTTTTTAGATGTTTTTTTGATCATTTTACATTTTTATCAGCTAATTTATCAGTTATCAGCTACTTTGTCAAACATGGTTTTAGTTGATGTTTAAAATTTATATTAGATTTTATTTTTTAAAATAATTTTTTAGGTCTAATAATCTACTAGTTTTGCCTACGCAACACTCAATATATATGGAAAAGTTCAATCACTAATAATATATTTTGAAATTTTAACAGGTAAAATCAAAATTAATCAAAATAAAATACAGAAAAACATTATATACAAACGACTTAGCGGTTGTTTATCAAATACTTACTTGGTAAGTGCTTACGGGTAAAATTTAACATCATCATTTACTTACAAAGTAAGATTTTAGTCCATAAAAATGACATTGTATGCAATAATTTACCCGGTAAGAGCTTACCGTGGTAAGCATCGTCGCTCTCACTTACCGGGTAAGACTCTTGGTCCTTGTCTCGCTCTTACCAGGTAAGTTCTTGGTTCTTACCATATTCATCAGGTAAGGTAATGTGACTTGGTAAACGGTTACCCAAACAAGCGTTTGATAAACGCCCCTTACTACCTTTTTTTATGTCTTGAGGGTCATCCCAAAAATTCCAATCTTCTGTAGGGATTGTGCCTAGCTAAATCATCCAAAAACATGTATATTCAATTCATTAACAAATTTACGTGACCCAAGAAGTGTAATTTCAAAAGAGACACAATTCCTTAAAATATAGAAAAGAAAATCTGTTGAAAAGTGGCTTTTTGAAGAGCTCTGCCGCCTCCAAAAAGCATGTTTTGCACGACCGAGAAGGAATAAGCTGTGCACCCTCGCAGGGACGGACCCAAATTTTTTTTTAAACGGTGGCACCATTTGACCATAAGAAAGATATATAATAATTTTTTTTTTCAAACGATGACACCATTTGACCATAATTAAAATGACCCTAACATGATTCGGACTTGGGTGTGGGTTGGAATAAAAAATAAAAGTCTTGCAAACCAACTCTATCAAATAAAACTTGTTCTCATTGTTGTTTCAAAATACATACGGTGACACACAACAAATTAATATGGTTGCACCGTTCACGAAACCTAATTTTTTTACCATTCGGCGGAGAAATAATACGGTGACACGTGCCACCTATGCCACATACATAGGTCCGTCCATGCACCCGCGTCCGGTGCAAATTTAGTAGACTATCCATAAAACATAGGATATTGAGGCACCATTTAACAGTGACTCTTGCCCGTAAATGCTTACACAGTAAATTTTTGATAAACGACCCCTAAAAAATACATTTGTTGGTTGACACCAGTTCTACATCACAAGAATTACAGTTTGCAGAAGAGACAAAACACACAGTAAAAAAACTGAATTTTTATTGACCCACTGTGGGTTCTTGAATGTAACACAAATGGTAATCTTGGAATTACAAAGCTTTGCTTTCATTATAAAGAATTAACAAATTAGAAATAGAATCATTAAAAAGAAGATTAATAAATGATTTTTTTTTAAATATATGAATAATTTAGCTAGAAAGGGTGCAGGGCTTAAAGATCCAGAAGACATCTAACCCTTTTGCTTCATTCTGTGTTGTAGAAACAGGAGCAGCTTGATTTGTATTGCCTTTCTTCACCTCCTTGATGCTGCTTTTTTCTCTCTCTTGTAGCATTCCTCTCTCCTAGTTTATTTCATCACCATATATCTCATTGGTAATGGTTTCAAGGAAGCAAGATAAATCAAACCAAATGAATCCAGTAAGTAAAAGCATACCTGAGGTCTAAGGCGGAAAGGCCTAGGTGGGGTGGCTTTGATAGGTCCATTATTAGCCGAAAAGCATTGAGGTGACGGAGGATTTGTTCGGATCTGCAACACTCTTTCCTCATCTTTACCCCTTATGCTTTTGACGTTTAATGAAATGGGTTCGTTCTCTGATTCACCACTCGTACTGCAAACGCATTATGAATTCCACGAAATGAACTTAGTCCACGAATTTGGCTCCTTATTGAAAAATACAAGAAGCAAAGCAAAATACATAGAAAAGAAGCATACGCAAATGCTATGTTTGGCAAACTAAGTTGAAAAGTTGGTTGTTGGCTGAAAAACTAGTTAATGGGGTGGTGGTCGGCTGAAGTGCTATTGACTAATAAACTATGGCTTCTGGATTATAAGGTGACTGATAAACTAGAAGTTTAGTAAAAACTAGATAAGCTATATGACAATGTAAAGTAATCTAAAGGGAAAGTGTATGTGTGCATTTATCAACTTATAAGGTAGCTTATGATTGCCAAAGCTGGCCAAATTCACATGGATGTGTCCATGAAAATTTGATTCCATAACCTCAATTTCGAAACTAGGCCTTCTGAGTTTTATGTGATCAGACATGAAAAAGAAAGGGTTTTGCAGACTCAAAAGACACGGAATTTGGAACTTACTTTTTCCTTGTAAGCTTCTTCTCCTTGACATTGCTGTACTTCTCCATTTCTGCATATTTCTCTTTCTTTACCTCTAGCAATGGCATCCTCTCATTCTTGCTTTCCTGTAAGACTCCCATTTCCTGTTTCTTTGTAGCCACCACATCCTTCTTTGCAATCTCTTTCTCACCATTGTCCTTCGCCCTTGTTGCCAATCGCTTCATCTCGTTGCAAAACTCTGTTACTTGATTCAATATGTCTCTTCCGGCAAACAGATTACGTGCTGACAACGAGCTTTTCAGCACCCTCGGGGGCTCTTCCTTCACCAAGAAACCATCTTCTACATGGTTCTTCTCCGAGCTTGACTTGATCATTTCTTTTATTGATTTAGCTTTGTGGTTAGGAGGGGTCGAGAAATTGGGGTTCTGATTCTCACTATCTTGGACAGATTTAGTGCTTTTTGAGTCTGTGTTTGATGGGAAACCTCTTTTCTTGAGTGCTGCATCTCTAGGGAAACAGAAATAGAACAGTGATTTAGGATTTGAAAACCATAGATTCAATCTGAACTTATAGTTTTAAAGTCAGTTTGTTCATTTATAGTTTTGTACCTCCAAAATCGATCACCCAATTTAGGGATCTCAGAAACACTTGCCGATCTTTGAAGCTGCATATGAAGATAAAACAAGATAAGTACAGGGTTTGATTGCTTCGAATTGAGAAACAAACTCACTTCCTTTATGAAAATGGAAGCTCGAAAAAGAAACCAAAATCCAAATCGATTATCCTAGAATAGGAGTCATGATTCTTACCAATTGGGGAAACTATCAAATATTGGAACAGAACTTATCTAGGGTTTTCAACATTTATCTATCAAATCAAACATGAATCGAATCTATGGGAAAGGGATTTGGAAAGAAAAAGTAAAATCAGACAGAAATCAACGAAAATTTGAAGATTGAAACCTTTGAGGAATCTGGAGTCCTTTGTCTGAAAAAGTCTTCCACTGTTTTGGGATGATTACAATCTGTGAACCACGATAACACAAATATAACAGACATCAATGAAAACTGAGATTATTAGCAATTCAACATCACAATCAGAGTGAATTCTAAGACCTTATACAGTAAAATATCAGCAAAAATTAGGGAATCTGATGCATATAAAGTTTTACAACTAAGACTATAAGATTACCTGGTCGGCAGAACCAAGCTTCATCGTCAACAGGAGGATCATCATCAGAGAAATCAATCCATTGAGGAGCGTTAATGTCTTCATAAAGATTATCCTTTTCAAACTTCGAATCTTTCCAATCGATCACTGCTACATCCATTGATAGCTCTGTTAATTGAAGATACAGAGAGAGAGAGGCGGTTTCTGTGAAGTGAAGAAGAGAGCTGAAACGTTGAAGGCAGGGCAGCGGGTGATGTGGGGATTTTACGTTACTGTTTTTCGACCGTTGGAGATACTTTCTCATTTGTCTACCAATTTAGAGTAACTACAAAACAGCCCCTCCACTTACTTATCTTTACACTTTTAATCCATTGACACAAACTTTATTAAAGAGTCGTTTACCCAAATGTTTACCCGGTAAGCACTTATCAATATGAGTCAACACTATAATTTATTTTGACGCGTAAGATTTTGGTACATCAAAACATATTAAATGCAACAATTTACCGGGTAAACTCTTACCTAGGTAAGAGTCGCCATCCTCACTTACCAGGTAAGACTCCATTTTTCTCATCGTTCTTACCTGGTAAGATTCTTGGCCCTTCTCGTGTTCATCCGGTGAGAAAATTTATGCGTTAAACACTTACCAAGTAAGTTTTTAGTAAACGGCTTCTAAATTTCTTTAAATTTTTTAAGAAAAAGAGGCCAAAATTCCAATTTCCTTTTACGGGAGTGGACAAAAACTATGTAATGGTGATTGCATTGGTAACAGATTTTCATTATGATTTTGGATTCAAAACAGTTTGAGAGTCGGTTATGTGTTAGATTTAGCTGAGCTACAACTAGTGAGATTGGAGTATAAAAATTGAAGCATTTTTTGTAATCTAAGAAATCTAATGGGCAATTTACTAAACACTTATTTGGTAAGTACTTACCGGATAAATTTCCTAATTGAATGAACATGAGAATGATCAATAATCTTACCGGGCAAGAGCGATGAAAATGATGGAGAGTCTTACCCGGTAAGTGAGGATGGCGACTTTTGTCCAGGTAAACGCTTACCCACTAAATTGTTGCATTCGAATGTTTTAATATACTAAAATCTTACGCATCAAAATAAATCATAGCGTTGACTCCTATCGATAAGCGCTTACAAGGTAAGCAATTGGATAAATGGCCCCTAAATCATAAAATCTGTCTCTAGTTTAGTTCAGTGTGTGTATGTATTTTACTTTGTGTTTGTAAAGATTGTAATTGTTGATCCTCTCTCTCATTGATTTGTTGATAATCC